GGTAGACTTGAACCCCCACACCCCCAGGCTAAAAACCCGGCCTGAAGTAGAGAGACAGTTATAAAGCCCCGGCCTATTATACCCTAAACCCCACAATCTATATATATATATATATATATATATATATATATATCACATATAGACCCCCAAGGTCTTTCAAGAAACCCAGTTGCTTCTCTCTGTGAAAGTGTTCTGTCTGTGTGCTCTGCTGTGTCATGCTGTCCTGCATGGTCCATGCATGCATGCTCGGAGCCTCGCACTGCCGTGTATATATATATATATATATATATACATGCACACGTTCCAAAAAATGCCAACATGCGAAAACGTACATGCAAGAGACGAAAATCAAGCTCCATGTCTCAATTTTTCGCAGCCAGGAGGCCGAGAAAGTCGAAAGCGGTCGGCCTACCCCTAAAAACTTTTCCAAGTTTCTGCAGGACCTACAGAGGCCAGGCTTTTCCAAGCGGGCCACCACAGTAGCGAACGAAAAAACGAAGCGGCAGCTAGTGTTTTTCCAAACACGTCCTTCAGCAGCCATGTTGGCTGCAGAGGTGCTCACGGAGGTCCCTGGCCTCCTCCTTAGTGAGGTGCTCCTTTTCCAAGGTTGCTTTGATTTCGTCGATGATGCCTTCGAAGGCAGGGCATCTCGACTGCGACACCTCAATAATAAGCCGCATTTTCTCGCCAACCTCTGTCCTGCCAAGCAAGTAGGCCCTGCGAGGGTTGCTGGCATTCGTTTTTGTGATGGCAAGCCATGGCTTCCGCTTTGGCTTTTCCAAGCCTTTTGGCTTTTCCAAGCCTTTTGCCGCCACGGCTTTTGCCTTTCCCTTGGCTTTCGGGGAGGCCTTTGCCTTCGCTTTCGCCTTCGCTTTAGCCGCTGGGGCGGCTTTCGCTTTGCCTTTAGCCTTGGCTTTCGCTTTCGGCGAAGCCTTTGGCTCGGCAGCTTCTGCCTCAGCCGCCTCTGCTTTCCCAAGCAGCTTCCTCTTCTTCTTCTTTCGCTTCTTCTTTTTGTTCTCCTCGGCAGGGGCTGAGTAGCCCAGGAGCTCAGAAAGGTTCTCCTGCTTTGCCGGAACCCTGCTCCCGGCTCTCCTCCTGGAGACCAGGTCCGGCTCAAAGGGGACAAGTGCCAAACTCGACGATGGCTTTTCCAAGCCAACCCCGGGGTCCTTGGACGAAGCGCTGGGCTCTCCTCGCTGCTTCTTCGAGGCTGGGGGGCTGTCGAACATTCGTGGCAGGCCGAAGCTGTTGAGCGACACGTCGTCGCTGTCCCGCTTCTTAAGCTTCCTGGGAGTCTTTTCCAAGTCTCTGCTTTTGCCAGGCCCCGACTTTCCCAAGTCCGGCTGGGCGGACGAGGGCTTTTCCAAGCTTTCCTCGTCTTTAAGGGTGAGCAACTGCAGCCCAGCCTGCAGCTGCTGGAACTCCTGTCTGCTGAGCTTGGCTGCTGCCTTTCCCAAGGCGCCTTCTCCATCTCGCTTTATCTTGCGAAGATGGGTCAACAGACAGTTGATCCTTTCCACCCTTAGCCCAACCCACACTTGTCCGCTGCAATCCGAGGAATTGAGCGACGGACAGTGTGCAAGGAGCGACAGCAGAGCCGCCCTGAGGGGCTGGGCATGGACCTCCCCACTTGGAGAAACCTTCAAAAGGTTTCTCCACAGGTCCGCCAGGCCCACCAGGGCTTTCCAGTCCGGGGCCTGGCTGCTGCTTATCCGCTCGTAAGGGCCCATGTCGGCGACCATGGGCTGATAGAGCTTCAGGGCCGTATAAAGGACCCCGGAGTCTATCATGGGCTTCGGACTATGCCTTGCCCCGCCCCTGCCCATCTTTCCCAAGTGGACAGCTTAAGCTTTCCCAAGCTTCGCCGAACCGGTTTTCCCAAACCGATGAAGTAACAGTTGGGCTTTCGCAATCCAGGCTTTCCCAAGCCTATATTTTCCGAAGAGAACCAAAAAAACCTGCTGTTGCAGGTGAAACTTTCGCAGGAAGGCCAGGGGAGGAAGGCGACTACCTACCTACTTTCGCTGCCTACTCTGCCTGCTCGGCTGCTCTGCTGCCTGCATAGTGCTGTACTGCTGCTGCCGGCCTGCTGACCGATCTGGTTTAAGGTTTGTAGAGTGCTGTGCCTACCCAAACATATGCTTCTGCCTGGTGGACTGCTTCTGAACTGTACACTCTCGCTGGGAGCACGGCGGGCAGCGGCGGGCATGCAATTCGATCAGTCCAAAAACATGCACTGCAGCACATGATATGCCAAATCAATCGCATTATGCATGCTTTTCCAAGCATGCACATCCATCTTGAAAATGCCATGAAAATCATATATGAGAATCAATATGAGAATCAATATGCGAATCAATATGCTAATCAATATGCTAATCAATATGCTAATCAATATGCTAATCAATATGCTAATCAATATGTCGTTTTTTCTGCATATTGATTTTTGGCGCTGCGCCAAAAATCAATATCTGTTTGCGAAATTGATTGATTGTAATCA